GACACATACATACATGTGTACATATATGTATACATATAAGTATACATGCATCATTCAGTCTTTATAAAATGTATGCAACATAGTTAGTTATTTACCTATAAAGTTTCAACACAACACTCCAAATGGTTTAGTTAGAATATCCCAGGTGTTGCATACCCTCTTAGGCACAATGAGAAACCCTAACCAACAATCTTTACAAGGAAAAGGTATCAATAGCTCTTTCCCTAAACCTTCTAGTAATTATACTGCAATATTCAAGTAAAGCATCCTAGATAAAGCCATACCATCCCTACATAACTCTCCAGAAAGAATGTGCCACTGGACCACTGACCTTAAATCAGTTATAAGGGATTATCTTTTTTTCTTGCCATAATAACCCCTTAAATGATAAACTTGAACTTTCAGGTTTTGCACTATGGTAACAACAGCATCTACGATGCACACTTTAAAGTACCTTTAAACACTATTTTTATTAATTCCCTTTGATGAACATTAACAGCTGATATCCTGCTTGTATTAGAACCTCGAAAGTATATAAAAAAATAGTGATATTTAACGATTCATTAATCAACGAATGTTTAGGCAGTACTAATTAAGAAATGTTATCATATGCAAAGTACAGAATGTAAAATGTATTTTCAAATATCCATAGTACTGAATATAAATTGTATAATCAGGAGGAGAAAATTTTGAAACATAATCCAAAACATGCCAATCTGGGACATCTATAAAATATTTTGGGGGGTGCATTCTTGCAACAAAGAAGTAAACATGAGTGACATAGCATGCAGGCCTTTTAGTAGTCAAGGGATTGAAGTTTTGAGAACTTAACAAACCTCTGCAGCCATATGATACAAACCAACTTTACAGTATTACTCTTCCAACCCCACCGGCTTACTTGTTATGTTCACATAATTTAAGATAAAAAATCTTAGGGGATATCTAAGGAATCTGGACAATTGTTATGCTATTTGCAGCTGATTTCTACCTGCAATGAGATCTTTTTCTTCATTTTTTTTCAAGTACTACAAAAAATAAAATGTATTAAGAATTCCATTCCTATGATTAAAAGTTACTTTATAGAATAAATTACTTTCCGTAAATTATGTAATCTCTTTTACACACTATCTTCTTTTGTAGAATTGAAACAAGATTCTGATAATGCTACTTTTACAAATATGTATAAAATGACTTGCCAACATATATCTTAAAGGAATAAATATTGTTTCCAGAGAAGTGGGTGTTTTGTGACAACATCCAAGCCAATGGCAGTAACAAAACTGTTTAAAGACCTGAACAGTGACCCATGACCACTATATTCCAATTGATAAACTAATCTGCATATACAAATTCCTAGTGCTGACTGGGAATACCTTTGAATTAATTCTCAAAAAAATAAATTAATGAAACTGAGTTCAAAACTGTGCATGTCTGTCACTGTAAGACACTGCTTATGAGAAACTTGGATCTGGGGACCTTCTCACCTCTCAGCCAAGAGAGCCTTCAGTTGCTCAGCTAAACTCTGCTGCTGAGGTGTGCGGTTGGCTAAGTGCGAGGCCAAGCTAGACGACTCGGAAATCTCGGCTCTGTTGACCGGCAGGACTCGGGCAACAGGTGGGGGGTGCCGGTACGGAATCTCAGGTCGTGACTCTGACTGGGTGTCGTGGTGGGGCTGGCCATCCATCCCCGCACCAAGGGGTCGCATTGGCAAGCTAGAGGGGGGATCAGGCAGGGCATGGGAGGGTGCTAAGGGCTGGCGGCCAGAGCTGAACTGGCCAGGTGGGTGCTGGTATGGAGGGGGACTACCTAAGTGACTGTATGGGGAGGTGGTGGGGGGTTTTGGTGGATTTGACCATACTAGAGGGTGGCAGGATGCTCTGGGGAGGGGGTAAAGGAGACTCCAGGATATCGGCTGACCTCCGTATCCCTACGTCCTGCTGAAGGTCCTGCATAGGCTCCGTTGCCACATGCTTCTGGGATTCTGGCAGGTCATCATCCAGACTGCTGTCATCCAGGCTGTGGTCCTGTTTGAGTAATTCACTTAGTATGTCGATTTTGACTCTGTGATGCATACATTTCTCTGTAGTAAGAAACACCATCTAACTTATAATAACATGCTACCATAAAATATCCAAAAATGTAAATTTTTTATTGGTTTCAATCCTTTCATAATAGTTATAGAGTATTTGAAAAAAGAAAAAGTCAACTTCCAATCAAAATACAGATAAATATGACAAAAAAAAAAACGATGAAGTTACTTACTTGACTCCCAGCACTACTCATACTGGTGGTCTTTTTCAGGGATGGGAGGTGACGGTTGGCCAGACCCCCCCTTGCTGCTAGCTCTCCCTTTGCTCGGCTTGCTGACACATCCAGTAGCTCATGGGGAGGAACTGCCTCATCTAACTCCTCCTTCACTGGCATCTGTGGAATCAATTGCCCAGTGTAAGTAGGTCGAGAAGAAATAGGAATCTTCACCTTGTTACTAATATTGTATGTACAAGCTTTGTTACATATCTTACATCAGAGAAATGTCTTGAGAACAGAGCATGAAATATTCAACTAATAATGTCATAACTCCAATCTGTTCTCTATATACAAAGTTGATCATAATTAACTCTGATATTTTACAACTAACACTGACTTAACCCATGGACCTCATCAGTCACATACTTCCTTTAGCTATGAATGGAATCATGCACAGGGATAAACTGATTGTAAAATGTTTGTAAATACATACCATAACCCCTCTCAAACACAAGTGTAGATGTATGGAAAAAATATTTACATTATCATCACTTTTCTTCCACAGCACTTTTCTTTCTTCTTTGTAAAAAAAATATGTCCTGTTATCACACCACAAAAAAATCTATATTTACAAGCATAAAATAATGGAGAGTAGTGTAAAGATGAAAGATAAACATCAATGTATTTTTCAGGGGTACAGAACCCTTTTATGAGGGAATTCATACTAGAATTAAAATTCAAAATAGCACAAAATACTCCTACAATAGATGATTACAACTTATCACTTAGTAATTGGGAATCCTTCTTCAGAGAAAACTCACTCACAATCATTACATTCAACACAAACATTCAACTCTTACATTACCAATATTCTCATGCCCAGATGCAAATTAAACATGCTCTCAAGCTCTCATGCATTTCCACACAACCACATTCATGTATACACACAAGGGCACATACACATGCATGCACACATACAGACACACACCTGCACACACATATATAAACAAAAAACAAAAAAAGGGTTTCCAGCCATAACACAAAGATGCAAAATAGAGACAAGACTTTAGAGTTTTTCTCTTATAAAAATGGACAGCAATAAAAAATACTAAGGATCCACTACAAAGAACAATAAGATGATAGAAAGAGGGAGAGGGAAGAAGAAGAAAAAGCAGAAAAAAAAATCAACCTGATCATGGAGGCCAAACAAATTCTTATACTCCATCCCTCATACACCAAAGCCCACCCACCTTGCGCTCTACAGTGTTGGCTTTGTCGCCCTCTGAGTTGCCGGTGTCAGAAGTTTCCGTGTCCGATATCTCTGGGTCGAGTGTGCAGAGACTGGGCTTGCGGGGAGGCTGCTAGACAGGCAAGGAGGGGGTTGCGAGCTTATGAGCAGTGCAGGTGGACATGGCCATAATAACAGCAGGATCGGCAATGGTACAGTAATATGCGTATTTGGACTGTATGCTGTTTATGCAATATGCTGTTTGTGCAAGGCAGGTATGTCACTGAGTGCATATATGGATTTTTATTTGTAGGTCTTTTCAATTAGTAAAAGAAAAAAGGGGGTATACGGGGAAATGGATCCGTATTTGTGCCTATCCTTCATTTTTTAAATGCATTTAGTTTTTATTTTCTAAAATTATGTATAAAAGCATAAGACAGAATCACTGACAAAAAAACAAGGCAGGTTTACAAGGGTACATTTTTTTTATTATACTAATCCAGTCATTAGGCAAATTAAAAATGAAACAAAATAACCTATCAATATTAAAACAAGATTCCATCCTCTTAATCAGAACACACAAAACTGCAGGATGGTTTTAGAATAAACACAGGGGACATCTTAGAAAAGGTATCAAATTAAAAACAAAAAGAGGTGGTGATATGTGATGAAATGGCACTCAAGACATTTTGTGCTACACTTAGGTTGCAAATTTGCCATCAAGGTAACTATTATCCTTCTATAAAAAAAGCAGGATACTGTCCAAGCATGCATATACACTTTCATTAACCAGAGTGTTCCTGAACATGTAGCCTCGGCCTAATGTGAAACAGAAAATACTACAATCTGGCAAACTCTTTCAACCCTATGAGAGCTGAATCTAAAGTAAAATATGGACATGTGTTTTTTGTTGGTCTGTTTTCTGCCTTCTTCATCGTTTCCTATACAGATTTGTATATCTGTAGATACATATATACAAAAAGATTTTATAGTGGAAGATTTTCCTTTTGACATAATCATTTGGTTAATATACATGTGACATTAATTACTCATGTTATTTAGTTAATACACATGTAGGACAAGTATCAAATATGGAAAATGGAACTTCCATCAAGTATTCAAAATTCAAACATCTATATAAAAATAGAAAAATAGCTAGTCTATGTTAAACAGGCAAATTTATCAGGGGGAGTCACATCTCTATCAAAATTATGAAATGGAACACATAAAAAGACAACAACAATTTTGAGGGAAGGATGACTAACAACATCCATTAAACACAAAATTATGGACACTAGTGGTAGTGTCCAGTAGTGATGAGGAGGGAGGGTTGGCTACTCTAATGGTTGTACAGAGGACTACCACGTTCAGGATGGGGTCCAAGGTTCCGTGCATGCTGACACAGAGAACATCACAACTACATCAAATAACATCAGCATTCCGCATTCAGGTATCTACTCTATGCCACATTCATTTATTTTTCTCTTTTTGAATCTCTCTCTTTCTCTCTCTATAAAAGTTCTAGGAAATATAAAAAAGAACAAACAGATGATATGAAGGTCTGTTGTAATTTGATATCATAGAACATTCTTAAAAAGACAAAAGCTTGAGAGCGTTTATTCAACTAGATTCCGCTTTTGGCGAGTGCTGAGCAATACAAGCTTTTGCCTCTACAATACCAAATCACTCTGTATAAAGAGAAAGACATAGATCAATCAAAATACAATCTACAACAGAATATAGCTGCTCCATGCATCACATCTAGAATATATAAAGTGAGTGGTAAATCATTATAAATAAAAAATAGGACTTCCCAAATGGAAAGAAAATGAATATATTAAAAGAAAAAGGTAAGTGAACAATGAGAATAACATATATGCAAATCTACATGAGACGAGTGCAAATAGTGTGTAATGAATATCTATCTAAAAGTCTTATTAGTTGTCATATCACACAATAGCCTCAGCTGCCATTAAAGCACAAATTGCATGTCTCTATCTATAACAAATATTGTAATGATATATAATATATCACTGGTGAAGAACTGTCTTGAAAATAATAAAGATGTTCACACTGATCTATTACTTTCATGTCATGTAATGCTTCAATTTTTACCGAGACCAAAGTGCAGGAAATATGAATAGTGCAGCCAGCCCCATTCCACAGTGCTTTTTCCATATAAGGGAAGACAAATAGAGCTACCATGCCTGGCCAACATCTGGTGAACCTCAGTAATATCAACCACTTTGGCACAAAAAAAATAAATAAATGAATAAATAAAATAAAGATAAATCATTACTACTACTAAAATATACATGAGCAAACACAGAGATTTTTTTTTTTATTACTTAAATCTTCTTTCATCAATCATCAAGGTTGTCATCTACTAAGTTATCAGAATACACTTAGATTCTTAAATGTAATAGAATGGTTCAAATGGAGGCCAGGCGTACAAACAAAAAAATTATACCACCAGACATCCTGCAACTTCCTGTTCGCAGCTGAACGATGTATGATACTCCTCTCAAGATTTCCACAGTTTTAAACTTAAAACCAGACACCAATACCAACTAAATATTCTGCCCTTGACTATATACATACCTAATATTTATGTACTGAGTATATATATATAAATAGTATAAATAAATCATCTACCTACATATACACTTCCCAGACCAAGTATTATCCCTTAGGAGAGCCCATTTACTCTACAGCAACAGTTCCCAACATTTATGTATTTTCTTAACAAAATTATGTATATGTAGTGTATCTTTCAAAACTGGTTTGTATATACAAGAATCTTTTAAGACCATCCTCAAATATATCTTCACACTCACACACATAGAACATGTATATATCTCAACAAACTGATAAATCAGTAAGCTGAATTTCTTCATGGACTGAGTTTAAGTAACTCAAGACAAGGTGGGCAATGGTGCATATTGCAGGTTTTTCACCACACAACTAAATAACGGTGGGAACCATTGCTCTATTGTAAAACAAAAAGTTTAACATCCCTTTAAGATGACAATCAGTGGCTTACCTTGGCAGATTGTGCACTCTGCTGTAATTGCCAGTAAGCAGGCTGTGTATTTGCATCAGCAGGAACCTGTACTGGGAGACCTGCCGTTTTCTGTGCATTTGTTAATTCTGCTTCTAAACTAATAACCTGCAAAGTGGAGTTTGTTTAAGAAAATTGAAAAGTTACAAAACCTAAAAGTATCATAGACAAATTTACATGTTAATAACGAACACAAAGGAATTTAAAGTTTTCTTGGGGTATTGATTAAATGATGTGACTTCGGTATTTCCTTTTACAGGTACAAACCATGCATACATTTAACAAAAAGATAGGTAACACACAAGTCTGTGACCAACTTCAAATTATAGAGTACATATCTACTTATATATTTATCTACATCAAACCTACTACCGTATTAAAGAGGTTATGGTAGAATGTTTAATCATAGGCTTATTAGCTTTTGCTACTACAAACACCCAATGTTTTTAATCTAAAGGTATATCAATTCTGTCAGCATAAACAATACCTCAGTACAATAACTTTTAAGTCAACTCACCCTATCCTTGAGTGCTTTCACGAGCGCATTGTAGTGCGAGTCCTTGTCCTCAAGTTGAGTTATGTGATACTCCTCACGGTGCAAGAAATCACGTTCCCTACCCTGATACTCTATTGAGAGCACAAGAAAGTATTAGATTTATCATCCAGTTAATTCTTACTATGTTGCATTCTATAGCTCCACAAAACCTAAATTAAACCTTATTTAAGATATTATATGTTGCAAGAAAAGCAACAAAAATCTGTAAGTGTTATCAAAGCTGTTGCAAGGCCTAAAGAAAAAATAGAAAACTCTTACCCTTAATTATTTTTTTAGCCTTATAATATTTCTTCTCCAATACAATGTACTGTCCCTGAGATTGCTCCAGCATGTCCTGGTAGGTAGACACTTCTGTAGTCTTGGCCTGTAGCTTCTCCTCCAGCTCACTCATCTGGTTTCGCGTTTCAC